GTATTGAGTGAAGAGTATTGGCATCTAATTACGCCTTATGTTTATGTGATTAATGTGTTGTTTTCTTTTTCTTTTTTCTTTTTCTTTCTTTCTTCTTTTTTTTTTTTTAATTTAAGACCCTTTCTCTTTATGTCTTGCACTTGACTATTTATGTCTTGCACTTGACTATTTATGACATGCTAATGTAACCTGAACTGCAATGTAACACAATCACTCATCTGCTCTTGTTGCACTGTAAATACTTTTATTAATTTAAAGTTGCTGCTTCTACACAGGGGAAGGCGTGGGACATATGCCTGTTTACCACTGTTAAACACCAGGCGTCCCCGTCTTCCGTCACCTGTCACCTGCCGGTAGGGTACAAACTGTGCGAAATTTGATCGAAGATAGAGATTAAATAAGAGGAGGGAAGATAGAGATTAGATAAGAGGAGGGATCGAAGATGAACTAATAGACGAACTTGCGCGACTTTTCCTGTCACTTCTTTCTAAGAATTTGAATTCCCGAGAAGATTGGGTGCTAGAAAGTGTCATTTATCGCCATTAATGGTTCATTTTATTGAGACTGCAAGCCTCTATTTTCGTTTATCGGTATTGTGAAAAATTATGCATACAAAAATATTAATTTAAGTCTGGTGTGTGCTAAAATAAAAATGAATTCCTTTTACACTCATTTTAAAATTTTATGATGCTTAAAAGAATGATGAGCCAGACATTTTTTATTCTCTGTAGGAAATAAAAACTTTCCAAGTTGTAGATTTTAGTCGCTGATATATATATATTAGTTTTGAATAATAAAATGGATAGATTAATGACATACACAAAACTGATACATAATCCACGTATCATATATCGGATTTCTGGCACACCTTAAATAAGTTTCTTGTCTAGATAAATGTTAACAAATATTAGACAGCAAACTGGTTTTTAACTTTCAAATTTACCATTTTAAGTAAACAGTTCTAATTTAATTTAAACAATTCTCTTTATTAAATCTAAAAATTGAATTTCTTAAGTGGTTCTAAATTCACACTAATATTATTGCAATATATTGCCATATTAAGCTTTCCATTTTTTAAGGTTATTTAACTTTCTTACAAAGTCCATATTTTAATAATAGAAACGTTTAAATATTTATTCTGTTTTCCAGTTACTCTACCTGATGTACTTTGGTATTCATTTAATTTCTAATACACATTTAGCAATAAAATTTCAGTTATGTGGAGCTCCTGATCGATTGCTTGTTTTAGATTGAATGAAATTAAGCTTAATGTTACTGTTAATTAGCTTGTTATTAATTTAATTGTACGTTTATAATTAATTATATGTTCAAATATTTCCAAGTATATTACACAAACTTTTGCATCCCAATTTTTAATTTTTGGTTAAAAAAAAAAAAGTTTTTATTTATTGAGAGGCCTGATTGATTATATTAATTTGCAGTACTGTTTATCTAATTCTTTTCTTCTAATTTTAGAAAAAAACTTCTTAGCATAATAATTTAAATTTATTTACAATTTATACGGCAGTTTTCCAAACGCATAGTAATGTTGTTATAATAGATTTCATGCTAAGCTTTTTTTTTTTTTAATTTAACTATTAATTTTTGCAAACATTTACATGGTGACTTTAATTAACGAAAAATATTTCTAGTACACTTTAACACACTTTGATTCAGAAAAATCTTTTGCATGCCAGTGAACTATATTAAATTTTCCAGTCTAGTTCAGACGTCTTGACTATTATTGATGCAATTTATAAAAAATATAATTGGTATGCTTTATAATTATTTAATTTATGATATTATTATAATACTCTTTGCTCTAATATTGTAATTAATGAAAGATGTTTGTAATGCTAATATGTATGTTTACCAATACCTTTTATTATTTGCTTTTATTATATGCTCTCGCATCTATTACTGTTATTCAAATAATTAGCCTGCTTGTTAGATATTCTTTACTTGTCCTGATTGTCGATATGTAATTCTATTTCTTTATTTTTATTTTCCTCTTGGCTACAATTGGCTTCGAAAAGTTAAACTGTAACCCTGTAGGCAACGGGGGAAAGAAATTTTGATTTGCGCAGTTGGACTATAGCAGGACGGGGGGGGGGATTTTCATTTGCACAGTTGGAGCCCCTGCTAACTGCCTTATTCACAAGAGATTGTTCTAGTACTCACAGAGAGTTTAGAGAAACTGCTCCTTTACATTTCTGTATTCTTTCACTAATTGCAAATACAATTTATTATTTTTGTGTTCCATAAGAAATTTTTTTTAAAAATCGGTAAAGATTTGAGTTGTAGCGATTATTTAATTGGCTTTACAGAAGATAATCAAATAGTAAGTTTTTATGTTTCTGGGAGTCTGAGCCCAAAATATCATATATTCTATATGAAGTGACGTTTTCCATTTATTATAAGGCAATCACTATATATATATAATGTGGTAAGCCAAATATTTTCTGTAATCTTCTCATACAAATATTAATCTGATCCTCTTATTAGAAAGTATTTTGTCTCAGTAAAAATGGAATATGCTTTTTCTTTTTTCTTTTCTTTTCTTTTCTTTTTTTTTTTTTTTTTTTAAGAGTGTAATTTTGTTAGAGAATATAGTTGTTTATTTTTTGTAGGAAGGCGTTGCCTGGCTTGGTTTAATTTATAATGCTTGGTTATCTTTTGATTTAAAATTTAATAAAATAGTTATTCTTCATTTAAAAATATAAAATGACAAAACTAACATTCAAGGTTTTTCATAGTTTTCAGTTAATTCTTTATTACAAACTCTTAAAAATATGAAATAATTTTTTTATTTATTCTGAAGGGAGGGACAGGGGCATAGCTAGAGGGGAGCAAGGAGGGCATCTGCCCTCGGGCACAGAATCCAATGGGCGCCAAACTGATGTTACGACATTTTAGAATTAAATGTTTTCCATCCTTGGCAAGCAGTAGGGGGGCGCAAAATCTTCAGTTGTCCCTGGCCGCTGAAAACCCTAGCTACGACTCTGGGGAGGGATTCTGTTAATGCTTTTATATATGTAGGAAATTGTTTTAGTATTATTCTTATGATTATTATTATTCTGAAAGGAAGGGAAAGAATCTCATAATGCTTGCTATTTTTATACGTAGAAAATCGGTTTCCTATTAGAATATAATAGAAATTTAATACCACAAAAATATATAATTTTTAAAAATGATAGAAATGTATAATTATTGTGTTAGGCCTCCTTTATGCTGAAATAAGTACTTAGCTAGTCTCTGCTTCATAATAAAGCTTCAGTTCAGCAGATTAGAACATTAGGGTATTTGAGTTAATCTGGAGTTCTTTGTCACCTATGAGTGAGGCAAATAGATTAATACTAGCATGTGTAGAAAATTTTCAGTGAGGAATTGCATGCATCACATTAGATAGAATATCAGTAACATATATAATTTTTAAAGTGATAGAAATGTATAATTATTGTGTTAGGCCTTCTTTATGCTGAAATAGTACTTAGCTAGTCTCTGCTTCAGAATAAAGCTTCAGTTCAGCAGATTAGAACATTAGGATATTTGAGTTAATCCAGAGTTTTTTGCCACTTATGAATGAGGCAAATAGATTAATACTCAGCATGTGTAGAAAATTTTCAGTGACGATTCCATGCATCACATAAGACAATATCAGTAAACATGACGTAAATTTGTTTGTAAGCATACTAGTGGAAAACAATGTATTCTGCAATTGATTAATATTTTATAAGCATAAATGATGATTATTTCAGTTGTTCGTTCCCAGTGTATAACTTTAGAATTAACCATTTTTGGTACTATTCGGTTTCGAGGGCCGTAAAAAGTCGCCAAATTATCGTTGATGCCAATGCTGCCAAAAAGAATTGCGGCAAGAAAGGAAGTTATAATAGTAAATAACTATCTAAGATTGATGTTTTAATTTAGAGAAAGGTTAATTTCATAATACTTTTTTATTGTTATAATTATATGAAAGAGGTAAACATGACTGAATGGAAGCCAAGAAAGAGTAAATAACTATTTAGTCATTATTATAATTTATATAAAAATTGCTAAACATAACTGAATGGATGCCTGCACGCTATTTCGCTACCGAATTCGTAAAGTATAATTCATCCGTTGGTTGTTCAAACGTAATTTTCTATAATGAATGATGCCTTTTCTTGAAATATTCTCGGTAAAGTGCAAATCGCTCACTTATTTGTTGCCGCTTTTTACAAGGGAAAAAAAAATTTAATTTTAAGGAAATAGGTCGATGGTACGTAGATAAAGTCAAGGATTGCGCAGTGCCATTTGTGCGTTGTAGGATTTTTTTTTAAGTGAAAATAGGTCGATGTTCACATGGATACCGCTATGTGCAATTTCTTAGTCAAACTTGACTAGTTTATCTATGCCACTGAATATGTACTTCTCCTTTTAGGCAGATTTACAAACTAATTGTGGGTAAAATAATCTCAAGGTAACAAACATGAAGTGGAAGACATTGTTTTAATTGATTTGCTAAAGAAAAAACTCCTGTAGTTAGTTTTTATCATGAATATAAGACACTATTGTTCATATTTAAAATAATTAAACTTCTTTATTTAAAAATTAACTTGGGTTACAAAACAAAGGGTTTGAATAAAGCAAAACTTAAAGGGGACAGTCAATTTTGCCTAGAATCACATTTTTTAAGATTTATATCTAAAAAATTTAAATTGATTTTTTTTTAATATTTTAAACTGTAGAAAAATATTTATAGTCATCTTTATGCAATGCATTGCTCAAATTAAACTTTAAATATTCATTTATCTTGAATTTTCATTCTTTTCTTCTCGGACAGTATATGTAAGCAAAATTTGAAAATGGGCCATTTATTTTAAGCTTTGTCTTTGGGCAGTTAAAATATTATGAAGTTATTAATCTTGTTAATTATGGTATAAATGCCTAAAAACATTTCATGTTTTTTATTTATTTTTAAGGAAGTAAGAGATTTTTCTTTATCTTTCTTCTAACAGTGCCTCCTAAGGTGCAGTTACTTACTAGGAAATTAAGAAGCTCCAAAAAGGTCCTATCAATTAAAAAGGCAACTGCATTCAAAGCTACTAACAAAGCCAAGTTCAGTGTGAAAAAGTCTCCAAAATCAAAGTCTTCATCAGTGACCAAGACAGAAAAAATCAATGGGGTTTTACAAGTGCCTGATAAAACTTTACCTGCCATGGTGGAACAAGGTATATTTTTCTTTCTAAAATTTGTTAGTTCTGATTTTGGCTTCATTATAATTTTTGTAATCAAAATATAATGCACATGGTTACCAAACCTCATTATAATTGAAGCTCAAGTTTCCATAACTTGATTCTTTATATTCGGTTTGATTAGGAAAAAGAATTACCTCACAAAAAGTGTGAAAATTGACTGATGAATCACAAAACAACTGACCAATGTTGTTTTTTCTATCAAAGAAGTAACTGATAAAAGTAATAAGTAGGTCAGTCGGAAAGTTTGTTTCACTACTGCATAAATATATTCCATCTAAGACTATTTGGATGACACTGTGTGGCAACACTTTAGACATGTACCTTTATCCCGTGATGTAGTGGCTTCCCCAAGGCAAGTTTAGATAATTCGCAAACAGGTTTTAGCGTCCAAATTGGAAACTACTGGCATAAATATATTGCCACGTCAAGCTATCACGAAACCTTATATTTGACTGACACTGTGTGGAAATCAACATCATGGAAGGTTAAACTTATGTACTTTATCCCCGTGAGGTGTGGGGGGGGGGGGGTGTTCCCCAAAGGCAAGTTATTTTTTCTGATAATCAGTCCAAACAGGTCTCGACAGCTGCAAATAGCGCCAAATTTGGGAAATTTGTGGCAGTGATTCGTTTTTTGTGGCAAAGGTGCAACTGTCACTGAAATTTTGGGGCAGTTGCATGAAGTGTATGTGAAATGCAGTGTTCGTCAAGCTATCACGAAATGGTGCAACATATTTGAGAATGGACATACAATTTGACGGCACTGAGTGCGAGAGAAGACCATCTACTGCAACAAATTTGGAAATCGCTGCTCACGTGAATGAATGCATTCTTGCAAACAGACGCATAACAATAGAAGAAATCTTAAATGAACTGGATATTTCTCATGGAAGGTGCATAAACTTATTGCCGATCACCTTAAATGCGTAAAGTTGTGCTCGTTGGCGCCATGTCTATTTACGGAAGAACATAACAGGAAAGCGTAAAAAAAAAAAAAAAAAAACAAAAAAAAAAAAAAAAAAAAAAAAACAAAAAAAAAACAAAAAAAAAAAAAAAAAAACAACCAAACAAAAAAAAACATTTTGAGATTGATTTGCATTTCTGCAACCTTACCAAATGGAAGGAAATGAGTTTTGGGACAAAACTGTGATTGGAGATGAAACTTGGATTCACCGCTTCTCACTTGAAACGTAATGCAGTTTGCTTGAGTGGGAACATTGCAATTCCCCGACACGGACAAAGTGTCAAACTGTTCCATCTGCAGGAAAGGTGATGATGATTCTGTTTTTCGACAGAGAAGGCATGGTGCATACAGAGTTCATGCCGAAGGATGCTACAATTAATGCATCTTCTTATTGTGAAATACTAAAATGATTGCAACAATCATTTAAAAATTGACGGCCAGGTAAACTGTCGAAAGGCATTGTGCTGCTGCATGACAATGCAAGACTGCATGCAGCAAAACAAACACGTGACCTTCTGAAAAAGTTTAGATGGGAAGTGTAGAATCACCCTCTTTATAGCCCAGACCTTTCACCTCCTGACATCTATGTGTTTGGTCCCACAAAACAAGAACTTTCAAAGCGACAGTACCATTTGCATGTCAAAGTGAAAGCTGCAGCCCAACAATGGTTATTGGACGGGATTTCTTTGCAGAAGGCATCGAAAAACTTGTACCACGCCTCGTCAAATGCTTAAATAATGGAGGTAATTATGTTGAAAAGTAGATTTTGAAGGGAACTTTAAGATATAAATATTGTAAAATTTTGCTCCTGTTTTGTTTTCTTAGGCAGTGCAACTAACTTTTTGACTGACCCTCGTAAAATCATATTGTAGTTAATTTGTAGTAATTGTTAGATGTAATTATTAAATTTATTTTTTGTTCTTTCTTAATTTCACTCTACATTAATAATTGTGCATGATAATTTATTAGCATAAAAGTTATGATTCAGACTCATTGCTCAAAATGCACATTTTCCTTTAAAATGCATGCATGCTAGAATAATCATTTTATCTATAAAATTGTTAAAACAATAAAAATGACTAACAAAAAGTATTGAAAAATTTACCTTTTACTTAACATCTGAATCAAAAAATAATGTGTTATTTTCTGACAGCTTCATGTAGATTGCAGAGAAAATTTATTCATCCTTTTTGTCCAAAACTTTAAGAGACTTCATCTCATCCAGTTTTATATTTTGGTCAAGCTTATTAATGATACACATTCTAGCTTTGGCATCCACTAAAGTAGGGAGTTGGTTGACCTTCTGTATGTTGCATTTCAACATCAGAGAGATGAAGAAATAAATTCATTTCCATCAGTGTCAGAAAAAGAATCTTTGATATCAACATATCCAGAGGAACGTTGCAGAAGTTCATTATTATTTTTTAGCAATAAAGCTCTCTTTGTGTGCTGCAGTATTTAGATAGTGTACTTATTTTGATCTGTGCATTTACAATTTATACAGACCACAAGCCCTTAATATTTACCTTTTACCAAAAATTTGACAAAGCAGCAGCAAGACAAGTTCGCCAACTTCATTATATCTCCTAGTTTTTGACTGATATCAAAAATGTAAAAGGTGAGAATAATATTGTAACTGATACATTATCTAGGGTTAATGAAATTTCATTAATAGATTATGATAAAATAGCTAATGAACAGACTCAAGTTGAAGACTTGAAGAGTTTTTCAAACCACTACTTTCTTGAATTTAAAGCAATGTTCTCTACCTTCGGGGGAATATTTATTATTATATACATCAACTAAAAATATTCAGCCATGTATTCCTCAAGTTTTCAGGCCCACCAGCGACCAAGCAGTAAAGGCGCTGAACACTGGTAGTTCGGTCTGAGGTTCGAATCCCCGCGAATGGGCTGGCTGCATGGGCGTTTTCGTGGTTTTCCCCATGTGTAACGTGTATACAAGCCAGTCCCTTAGAAAGTCCTCCACGAAGGCATCCCTTCCTTTAGACAGATAGCCCTCGTGTGCTTTGCCGTAATTGAATAATCCAATTCAATCCAATCCCTCAAGCTTTCAGAAAATAAATCTTTCAATGAATCCACGGTTTATCACATCTAGGAATAGACTGTAAAACTAATGACATAAGAATTCATTTGGCCCAGCATTAGGAAAGATGTCCAATTGTGGACATGAAAGTGCATTCCTTTCCAAATAGCTAAAATCAACTGGCATACCAAAACAAAATTATGTGTTCCTCTCTGCTGTACCTTAAGTACCACCAGGAAGATTTTCTTTTATTCATATTGATCTCATTAGACCACTCCCCTCATCCAAAGAGAATATTTACTGTGGAAATGGACGCAAGCAATCCCTTTAAATAATATTTCATCTGATAGTATAGCAAGAGCCTTTTACAACAACTGAATTGCGTGTTTTAGAACGCTAAACAAACTCATTAGTGATCATGGATCCCAATTTAAATGTGACTTTATGAGCATTGTTCAAAATTTGTAATATCAATATGCAACATCCCACTGCCTACCACCCCTCGTGCAATGGCAAAGTGAGCGCTTTCATAAAACATTAAAAACGGCATTATAAGCTCACAACGACCTGTTGTGGACTGATACATTACTGACAGTACGTTGGGGTTTACATACTGCTATCCAAGAAGATACAAATCATTCTTTTGTGCGCAGCATTGGAGACTTTTACTATTAACCTCTAGAAACATGCGGAAGTTGTCAAACCCAGACAGATTCGTAATACTTCTCAAGAGATATTTGTACTTAAAGACCTAAAAAACTGTTCTCGTATGTTTCATTAAAAAGACAGTGTGAAAAAACATTTAGTCTTTATGTGTAAACCTTTTAAGGCTTTATGTACAATGTGGTTTGAACAGATATTTGTACATAAAGACATAAAATCTGTTCTCATGTGTTTTAACAAAAAAATAGGGTGAAAAAACATTTGAAAGACGATTTTTTGTCATTGATAGCAAAAATAAATAATTTACTATTAGCATCCATAGAAAACATGTCAGTGTATCCCTCAGTTGCTCGAAACCAGTTTATATTTTAGTTCAGAAAAATTCTCAGTTAACAAAACCTCACATGACAAATTGCAGAGATCAGACTGTCAGATTCAAAGATTGTATCTAAATTCTTCTGACAATGTCTTAATTCTCTGATAGTAGTTAACACTGCAGTGTTTATCACTACCTATTTTTCCACTGCTTTATCTCGGAGGCTTATCTTCTTTTTATCAGAAATCTGACTGAATGAAATGAGAGACTTTTCAAAGGTCTCTGGAGGACCCTTGCACTCCTTTTTGGCCAAGAAGTTAGCAACCTCCTTCCCAGGAATCCTGCTGTGAGTTGGGACCACTGTAAAGAAACAGAGATTGACATTGAGAGCTCTCTACAACTCCATAATACTGGTATTATCCATGTGTTGTCTATTTGCAAGAAATTGTAGAGCATCTGACAAATTAACCGCTCTGCAGAATGACGAAGGGCAGATAACCAGGTGATTTAATGCGATATATAAATAGCCTTGATTTCACCATTGTAATTGGTGGAATGAGCACCTATTGGTGAATAGCATGAAAAAAGATCAGAACACTCACCGGCTCCCCTTCGTCTTCATCTTTAAGCAGTGATCCATCTGTGTACACATGCAACAATGTATCTCTAGGGTATTTGTTTTCAATGGTAGATACAGCAATAAGAGCACAATGGTAGATAGAGCAATAAGAGCAATGTCATCATTATCTGATGATGTTAGAGCAGTGTTATCATTACCTGATGACTTCTCGGGTTTCACGCAGTGTTCTGTATGAAATGGTGAGCGAATGCTTACAGCATTTTGAAAACTGTGTGCACGGTAGATACCAGAAATGTTGACAGAGGTTCACAAAAACAAAACATTTAGGTATTGCTTTAATTTTCATTCAGTGGTACAGTGAAGAAGGTGATTTTTTTAAGCCAAATTGTCACAAGCAATGAAACC